TAAAAATATTTATATTGATAATATAACTGCAATCAGAAACCTTAACTCTATTACTGACTTCAAACCTATACAAACCAAAAATTTGAATACTATTCACTATATTAACTACTTTAAACATCTTAAAAACATTACTACTACTTTTTACAAAGTTAAATCACACTCTATAGACTCTTTTCACAACTAAGCAAATTTACTTGCTAAACAAGAAACTACAAAACTTATTTTCAAAATTAACAACTCAAAATTTAATATCCCAAAGCATTTTATATAGAATAACTACCTAATCTCTTTTAAAGTTTGCATCCTCATCAAAAACTCTATAACTATTTATGAAATTGCCAAATAGTCAAACTTAAAATTCTTTCAAAATATCACAAATATCAAATGATTATTAAAATTTAAAATCATCTTCTTACTTGAAAATAACTTACAAAAATACTCTTTTCATATTAAAATTTTTACTAATAACCTACCAACTATGCAAAATCTTAACATCTGTTACCTATACCTCTATACTACTTCAAATTGCTTTTACTGTACAAATATTGAAAATACTCTTTATTTATTTTTTTGTTCTAGTAATACTACAAACATTCTACAATCACTTAAAAATATAATACAAGATACTCTAATATCACTAAAAATTACTAACATAACTTCAACAACCTTATTAAATATTTTTTAAATTTTATACTCAATATATCAAATTCTCAATTTAAACATATATTATATATTATTACTGAAACCTTTACTTCTACTATTTACAAAAATATCAAAACACTTATTAATAAACAAACTGATAACCTCTTACTCCAGCTAGGGTTGTTAATGGGTTGGGTTGGGTTGATCCAATTCTTAACCCATTCCAGTAAATTAGACTTACTTCAGCATTTTGCTCCGGGTTGCTTCATAGCTACTCTGGGTTGCTTCAGGTTGCTCCAAACTTAAAAATAAAAATTTAAACCCACTCCAACTTGGGTTGGGTTCTACTCCAGAGTGCTCTGGAGCAAGCTACTCCATTAACAACTCTAGCTTATGTAGCCTATATTTATAATGAAATGCCAAAGCTTTCATGTTGTATTTTCATAATATTGGTTAAATTCACTTTTGTCTCGTTTTTGTTTTGTGTTATTATTATCATTATTTTTTGAATTTTTGGATTTTGCAATTTGATTGGCTGGCTATTATGTGACAATACATGAACATTTGTATAATATTGAATAGTTCCTTACTCACAAATGCAATCTTATAGTGTTAAAATGATCAAAAAGAATTTTTTTTTCTTTTTTTTAGTGCTAGCATTTTATAGAGAAATGGATTTGCTCATCGGAATCATACCAAGATATAAAAGTTTATTAGCACCTAACAGTTCTAGAACATTGGTTCATTTGTACCCCATTCTTAAGTCTTCAAACTGATCTACATTTTATTAAATTTTTATAAAAAAGAAAAATCAAAATCTAACTCTATTTTGAATATGTAGGTTTTCAAGACTTTTATTGTTAGATTTATTAAACTTAAGCAGTTCTATTGTTTAAGTTTAAGCTTTATCTCAATTAAAAGAGGCTCAAAAAATGAATCCAAATTATGTTCAAATTTGATAAACTGGGCATAAATTTAAAGAAATTTTTTTTTTTTATTTTTGGAAATCTAATTGAAATTTTTTTTCTAGTTCAATTTTTGCAAATATAAAAGCAATATTAAATGAAGGTTTGACTTTAATATACAAAAAAAACTAGTATTATATACATACATTATATAACTGGCTCAAAGAAAGTTTCTATAGTTAATTGCTTGAATGAAGCATTCCGGAACTTCCTAACTAGCCCAGACAATTTTGATAAAGCTGAGTTATGTTCTATATGAACTGCATTGCTAAGGTCCTGTTGCATAAGATATAACTCTAATAAATGTATAGCATCTAATGCTTCTTTGTGATTAACTTAGGGTAGTTCTATACTATCATCTTTCTCATCATCTTCAGCTATTTCAGGTTCTAGGTATGATAATTTCCTGGTCACTTAACATTCTGGTTATATATTTTCTTCTGGATAATTAATATATTCTTCTAAATCCATTATATTTGGAAAGTTAAGCATCTTTATATTATTATACAATTCTTCTATCAAATCATCATCGTTGTCATCATCAAAGGCATTCTCATTATCTTGAACAATCGGAAGAATTTCTGTTAACACCATCGAACTGGCGTTGGTGTTTCGGTCGCTTCTCAAATGGATACGTCATGTAACCTACGAATGGCTTAGTCGATAAGAGGCGGTTAGATTTGGTGAGTGGTATGTTTATGATCGTAGGTTTTGCAAGGTAGTGAAGGTCAGGGAATTATAAGGATCAAACTTCATTACAAGCATGAACTCTGCCTACTTTCTTCAGAAGGCTCAAAGCCTTTATTATATACTTTCATTTACATAGGATACGTTATACACTGTATTTATGATATATCGTTTATACTACTTATAATGTTTATACTAATTATATTGATGATAATGTTTATACTGATTATTTTAAGTATACACTTGATCCTACTGATATCCATTATTCACCTGATATATAGGATACATAGTATACTGCGAATATAGCGTATACTGCCGGTACACCCATTTAAGGTATATGATCTACATAGCCAAGAGAGCATGACTTAGGGTCATATAGCAAAGATCCCACATTACTTGTGGATCACGTGTTTCGGGTCTAACATTTCTCCTCCACTTAGTATATGTGTACCACATATATAATCATGAAGAACTTGACGGTAGAGTTTAAGTGGGGAGTCCTTAGGGCTTTAGAAATCTTTAAGGAATGACTTTAGTTAGAAGCACAGAGTTAAGAAGTTAAGACCACCTAGACTTTTCTTCACTTTGCAGGTACGTATTTTTTCTTTAACCTTTATCGCAGCTCTTTATCCACAGGCACTTCACTCTTTTTGCGCAGGTCTTATTCCTCGCCAGACCAGGCTCTATCGTTACAGTTTACAGGCAGATTCATCTTACTTCTTGCCTCAAAACTTCAGCTTCGATATCAGGTTTCTTTAGTTCATCTCACAGTCACCACCAAAATGACACCATCGAATGGTGTCGGCGTTTCGGTCACTTCTCAAATAGATACGTCATGTAATCTATAAATGGCTTAGTCAATAAGAGGCGGTTAGATTTGGCGAGTGGTGTATTTATAATTGTAGGTTTTATAATTCAGCGAAAGCAAGTAATTATTTAGAGACAAGTCTTAAGATAAGTGCTAACTGAACTGTGCTTGTAGGGCTCGAAGCCTTTATTATATACTTTTGTTTACATAGGGCATGTTATACATTGTATTCATGTTATATCGCTTATACTAATTATAACATTTATATCAATTATACTAACAATAATGTCTATATTACTGATACTGATTATACTCTCTATACTGATTATAATAATTATACACTGTATCCTACTAATACTCATTATCCGCTTGATACATAGTATACTGCAAATACAGCATATACTGCGTATACTGCTGATAAACCTATTTCAGGTATATAATCTACATACCCATCACTGATTACAAGCTTCTGGCCCCACCATTCTACTGCTCACACTGTATATAGAGGTGGGATCCATGAATATTCATAGTTAAAAATAAATATTTATAGCTGTTTTCATTATTTTTAGGAAATTTAGTAAAAATTTATTAAATGATTATTTGGCTGATTCGATAAGTTTTTTTGTTAAGATCTTTGGTTTGCAATACATATATAATTGTTGTTATATTACTATTCACACCCAAATCAAGATTTTATAATAGCCAAAATCAAAAATTATCAAATCGACAAATAATCATTCGGTCAAATTTTTACTAAATGTCTTAAAATAAATGAAAATATTTATAATATTTATTAGATTATCAATATTCAATGAATCTCCAGAAATTCTTTTATAAGAGCTATGAATATTTATATAATATCTAGATATTCATTCAAGAATATTCATAGATGGCAAAAAATATTCATTAACGATACAGTAGAATCGTCCCAATGATTGTTGTAACTTACCATAGCTATAGTGAGTAATATAAAATAAGTTACAACATTATTTCTGTAACTTACTATATAGTTATAGCTAAGGATGGATTTGGTCAGTCATTTTAGGTCAACTGTTTTATGACCAACTGAATCTATCTCTAGTTATAACAAGTTACAATAATCATTAGAACGATTCTACTATACTACTAATATTTATTGAATAGTTATGATAAATATTAAAAAGATCCTAACTTTACCTGTGTGTTTAAAGCAATTTTGTATTGTTGTTGGTGATACCTCTCTCCATGCGTGAATGATAAATTTTATAGCAGTAAGAACATCTATTTTATTATCATTATCTCCAGATTCATATCAATTGAGTAACCATTTTATAAAGTAACTTTGATAGTGATGCTTGAAAGACATTATAATGCCGGCATCCATAGGTTATATATGAGATGTTGTATTTGAGGGGAGGGTGTGAACAGTTGTATTATGTAGTTTTAAATTACCAGAAGAATGGCATTTTGCTCTATCAATTAAAAGAATTACTTTGCGACTAGCTGTTTTTGAATCAAATTTTTTAAGCCATTGTTGATACAGTATACTTGTCATTCATGCTTTTTGACTTGCATCATACACAACACCAAAACTATGACATTTAATGGATTTAAAGCAATGTGGATTGGGTGATTTACTAATAACAAATAGTCTTATTTTATCTGTCCCATTAGCATTGGCACAAAGTGCCACAGTTAGTCGTTCTTTGTCTTTTTTTTTTCCTTTAAGACGAATGGTTGCTAGTGTACTATCTGGTTCTAGGCTTTAAAAAAAAAAAAAAAATTAAAAAAAAATTAAAAAGAAATAAAAAAAAATAAAAAATAAAAAAAGATAAAAAAAAAAAAGGGAAATATAAAAAAAAAGTAAAAGAAAAAAAAGATGGATTAAGGTAAGTATTAATTCGTATAGCATAATTTGTTTAATACCAATAGAATAATCCAGTTTCATTCATATTATAAATGTCCTTTAGGTCATATTCTTTTAAAATTTCTCTTAATCGAGGAAGAGCCTCTTCAATGATGGCATCATCTACAGATGCATCTTCTTCATGTTTTACTATTTGCTTTAGGCCATGTCTTTTTTTGAACTTGTATAGCCAACTGTGTGAGAACTTGAAATCATTCTCAGATATATGAAACAATTTAGCTAAATTTTCACTTTTTCAATTATAATTTCATCAGATAGTATTATATGATCTTGACTTTGTAAAATCTACTTATACAACGTGTCTTCAAGATCCAGATGTTGAAATGTTTTTTGTCTTTTTGCTAAGAGATTTTTTCCAATTGTATCTTTATTTTTTAGTAGATGGCTAATGGTACTTTGATGAACATCTAGACCCATTGTTTGTTTTATCCAATTGACAATATCAGCTTGGCTTATGTTAGGATTTTTATCTTTATGTGCAATAATGGCTTTTCTTTGCTTATTGGTAAGAGTAGTTTTGGTTTTTTTAGGTTTTGTAAAGGATATTTTAGTTACAAAAAAAAAAATTTTAATAAGATGGGTAAGCACTTTTCTTAGTTTTATAACCCAACTAACTATTTATTTAGTTTATTTAAAATAATTCACAGTATATCCTTGATATAACAAAGCTCTGAAACTGGAGGTTTTGCTTCGTTATATTAAAACTTATTAGTAGTTTCGTTATATCAGAGCTAATTTAAACATAAAAAACCTCATTATCATTATATCAAGATTATACTGTATTGTTCATGACAATAGGATGGGGTTATTGCATTATCATACGATGCATAAAGACATTTATATCAAGAGGCTTTTCTTGCAATTATATGTGCTTTAAGTTGACATTTACTTGAAATTGTACTTAAAGTTGCAACTTCAAATGCTTGAAGTTGCATTGACTAAAATTCACCTATCTTGTTATATACATTAGTTAACAATTTAGGTATCAAGCATTTGAAGTTACAGCTCCAAGAATACCAACTTCAAGCACATTAATATCATGATAATTAAGATAAGTTTATATATTCGTTTTATTGCACTATTGTTTCTTATAAAAAATAACAGTGTGCATGCTAAAATCAGCTTGAACACAGCATATTTATTAGAATTAAACTAATAGGTATGTATAATTTCTTATGTATAATAATTATTACTTAATAGTAAGTATAAAATAATTACAATAGCACAGTGTGCAATTATTTAACTAGTGAAAAAAATAGGTATACAATATTTGTTTATAACTTTGTTTTTATTAATCTTAGAAAACTAATTGGATCTGGAACTTGGCAATTTTTTTTTATATTAAGGTTTATACATCTTAGAAAACTAGTTTGTACTTACAGCAGAGACAGTGCCTGATCCAAAGTAAATCCCTCTCACCTGTGATCAATCACAAATTAAATTATTTATGTTAAAATTCAATTGTGATGGATATAATTCCTCACCAGTTTTAATATACATGTAACATTAAACAGTCTCTGCTGTAATTTGTACTTGATTGGATCTAGGGCCAGGGTAACAACAAAATTGGGCCAGTGCCAGAGTGATAATAAAAAGTTGACAGTATGAATATGCGATGTGTAGATGCATAAATGTACAGTTGCCTCTGAAAGTTTAGGATAATTACACTGAAATATAAAAAAAATAAAAAATTTCATCAGCATAAAATTATATTTTATAATTGTTAATTACTTTTTTTAATTTTTTTTTATGTAATATGTTTCAGTGTAACCGTTCTAAACTTTCAGAGACAACTGTACGTATATACATAATACATATATTCCCTATTGTACATCGCATTATTGTTCATATTTTTTAAATTTTATCATATGTTTTATGTCATACTATGTTTGATAATTGGTTTCTATCTGGAAAATTTGGTTGTATTGCTGTTTTGAAATTAATCAAAGACATGAAATTATTAAGTTAGATTTGTGGCAGGTTCTTATTAGAATCGAAGCATAATTGATTATTAGGTTTAGAATCCAGAATTTAATAAAAATAAAAATCAATGTTAAATTTTTTTTTTAAAAAAAAAGAGAATTACTACTGACACAGCAGTATGGAGCTAATCCGTATTCTAACACAACCTTAACTATAATACTAATCATTAGATATATCGATATGGTTGTGTCAGTACATAGCAGTTCTCTAAAAAAAATAGCATTTGTATATGATATGCTACCCAAATTTGATTGGCTCTGACACGATTGTAATCACATGATATGTATTTATGAAGAGAGTTATATAGGCGGGCCCAAAAAAATATATGCATTTGCAGAATAAAGAATATGCATTTATTTACAAAGCCTACTAATGGGCTAGAAAATTTATATGCATTAAGAGAGGGTATGCATTTAGAAGGGATGCATTTAGAGAGGTCTGACTGTATATAGTTACTTATTTTATAAAATCAGGTTCTAAAAAATTTATTTTTTATGCAACTTTTTATATAATAAAACTTTCTATAATATTAATATTACATATAATGCCTATACTTTACAAAGTTAATCTTTTAGAAATTTCTATTTTTGGTTATATAATGTACTTGGTCTTTGTTTACAAGACTTCATATTCAGTTATAGGTTTTTTTTTAGGTTACAAAAGCTAAAATCTGTCTTTAGTCAAACTTGAACTGTTGATCTTGATTATGAGAATGTAGAAGCTTAGCTACTAAGCTATAAAACATATATCTTATTTTTTTTTATTTTAAATATATATTTAACTTTTCTAAATAAAAATTATATAAAATACATTTTATAAATAAACTTGAATCTTATAAATTAATATTTGTAAAAAACTAATTTATATATAATTTTAACTAGGTTAACTGAACTAGCTAGATTAATTAAGTCAATTAGACTATTTAAAATTAACTAAATTTTATTTAAATAAAGATTTAATAAGCAAACAAGTAATTCAAAATTAAATTTTATATTAGACTAAAATTTTAATAATAATTTTGTTTATTATTTAGTATTTAAAAAGTTCTTTATATAAAATTTTAATAATAATTAAAAATAAAATTATAATTAATCAAAATCTTAAAATTTGTTTCTTTTTTTATAATTTGTATAATGTACAATATTGTAATACATCTTATTTAATCAAAATAATTGGCAAATTTAATATATCAAATATGATTTGTGATTAGATATATGATAGCTAACTAATCTATATTTGTGTATATTAAATTTTTTTGATATTAAGATGATCTCTTTAGTTTTTTAATTTTATTTTTTATTTATTTTTTTTTTTTTTTTTGTTAAACTCGCTTCTTTTGGAGTTGGGTTTTTTTTATTTTGCTTTTTTGCGACACAACATGGCGTCTTGCCCTCTTCTGACCTCTCAGTG